TAACTGCCTCATCTTTGACATAATTTACGTCAACAACAAAAAACAACAACAGCAACAACAACAACAACAACGACAACAACAACAACAACAACAACAACAACAGCAACAAAAACAACAACAATAGCAGCAGAAGCAGCAATAGCAGCTTAGCAGCAACACAACGACAGCAGCAATAAATAACAACAACGACAAGAACTGCAAAAAGTTGAAGACGTTCGATATAATAATTATGACAAGATGAAATTAAATCTGAAGAAGCCTCCCTCATGACACTCTTCTGCAGTCATGTCAAGATTCCTTCGGTCAGGGCAATCAACAAACTAGACATGAAGCAGGGTTGTGACCATTCTTAGTCCGTGATTGGCCACTCCATGCTGCCTTTGACATGGTTAAAGATTTCCTTAATCAAACACTACATGAATCGATAGTGCTGTCTGTGTTATTCCACATGCTATGTTTTCTCAAAGTGAATAGTCTAACAAAGCTTCGTTACATACGGGAACAACGTAATAAATCTTCTAATTAGTCGAAAAATCATTGATTTATTTGTTCGGTTGTTTTTTTTACTGATAGAGACCGAAGCCCTGCCTTGCAGGCGTACACCGATTGTTTTCTTCTTATCTTATCGTTCTTTTTAAAATATATTTATTAACGTTTATTGGGGGAGGGGATGTTTGTTTGCTTCGTTTGTTTGTGTGTTTGTTTGCTTCGTTTGTTTGTGTGTTTGTTTCTTTGTTTGTTTCTTTGTTTAACCTTAGAGTACTTGAGAAGGAAAAAAAAAAAGAATAAGCATGATTGGAAATAGCAATTATTTACTTATAAAACATCAGTATACATGTTGTAACTTTTTTTTACACAAAGGCGTAAGAAACGTCGGTAAATATCCAACAGATCAGAAGCCCAGGTCTTTTACTTCTTAAATAAAAACATCAGTCAGAAGTAAAAGACCTAGGCTTCTGATCTGTAACAAAGAAAGACATAGAAGGTCATTTTTACCATCACCTACCAAAATGCTTCCATCTTAACCATCTTGTATAAGTATACTTACGTACGACCTTAGAGCATGCATCAAAATAACATTGAGTGTGTATCTAGCTTACGTTTATTTTTGTTTATATTGCTGCTCATCTATATTATGCATGTCGTGATTGTAAACCTACCTGTGTGTGCATTGGTGTGTGTGTGTGTGCATATGTGTGTGTGTGTGTGTGTGTGTGTGTGTGTGTGTGTGTGTGTGTGTGTGTGTGTGTGTGTGGGTGTGTGTGTGTGTGTGTGGGTGTGTGTACACGTGGTGAAACACCAAACCAATGTGCCAGGATCTGGACAATAAAGATGTATCTTATCATATGTAGTCTAGCAATAAGTCTCCCGAACTCGTAGTCATGAGGTGAGTGTCGGGGATCAGGTCGAGGGTCAGCAATGAGGTGAGTGTCGGGGATCAGGTCGAGGGTCAGCATTGCCTGACGTTGTGTAGTCCACTTGGGAAAGGCAATTACACAAGCGTCTCCATTTTCACAAATTTGGTGAATGAATTCGAAGTCATAAACAGATAAAGATCCCGTCATTACTTTAGTGTTTTAGCAAGTGGGTGGTTGGTGGGTGCCCTTGTGTGACCTTCTCCTTTTTTCCTATCTAACATATATTATTCTTATCTCTCCTCCTTCTTTTTTGTGCTTGTTGCTCTCTTGTAACACCTGTAATCTTGGGCACTTATATGACCTATTGTGTTGCAAGTGCCGTAAAACTCTTACTAAAGCTAGAAAGCAGTGTAATAATATTATTATGCTTATAAGGAAGTTGAGGTTGTTGCAGAATTGCAATTTGTATATACATTGGAACTTATCATTTTTTAGCTGTGTACATGTACTTTACTCGGATTTGTGAGCCATGGTTTAGACGCTTCACCTCGAACAAAATTAGCTCTGATGTACTCCCCTTTAAAGTTGGCATTATATGATTGTTTTCTTATTAAACATGTCTGGGATTGATTATGTTTTTGAAAAAAAAAACTCTCTCCCGGGATCAATGCATCGGTGTTTTCAGGCAGATCAGAAACACCGGCTTTCCCTCTATGCTCGAGAGTTCACCGAGGAACTCGTTACACAAAGAACAACCAAAACCTAATTTAAAAAATAAAAACAACAGCAAACAAACCAAAACTCATTCACAATCGCATGCGTTCGCTATGTGGGAAATTCAAGCTATTTTGCAAATCAATGGACTTCCAGCTCCCTCATTGCACACCCAACTTTGACCTTTAGTTCTATGGGATAACGATATGCCATTGTTGACATGAGGGTATGTTTGCTTATGTCATGCAACGTCTCTCTGATCAAACGTGAGGTCAGTGTTCTATAACTGTTACCCCCATCCCCCCCCCAACTCTAATCCTCCCAACTCACAACCTCCCAACCCCTCAATCCTTTTCTGCTCTCCGCTACCTCTTCCCCTTCTCCCCCCAACAATTCTCTCTCTTTGACTATCACTCTCGTTCTTCATC